CATCCTTGTGGTGGTGATGGGGATGATTTAAAGCCCTTGTATTTGTCTACAGTAAGGTCTTCACCAGAGCTTGGAGAAGTTAACTTTTTAGACTGCAACTCCCATAACCCCCCAACCATCAGGGCCAGTAGCTTTCTGTAGCTGGTTCAGTTTTTATCCAGTTGATTTAAAATCTATCAGAATTGTGAAGTTGATGAAGTAACTAACCAATGCTATGTCTCAACTTACAATTTGGATAGGTGAGATTTGTATATAACTGTGTAATATTGAGATATGTGATAATGAAACCTCTTATGATCATTTAATTCCATTCTTCTGATAGTCATGACATCTTGAAAAAACATATAGATTATTAGTGAGATGCCTGCAAGATTGTGAAAATCTATATATGAATTGGGTCCTAAAGATTGGCTGTAGATGAATGAGTGGGCAAATTAGTGTTCAGAGAGCCACTTTCAGCATTTCTAGCTGTCTTTGCCTTATTCTCTGTATTCTCTCCTGCAGGTCTCTTCTAGTTTCTGATTTTTCTTCCTTTTCCCATATCTTTGTCTCTTTCTGTGGTCCCTGCTAGAATCCTGGGTGTCCTATTGTTGTCATCTTTTTTTAAAAAAGATCTCTTTTAATTGTAATTGCTGCAAACCTTGCTAGTGGGCTATTTGTATTGGAGAGATGATTCAGAAGCTTTGCTTTTTAAAAAAGTTTATTTATAAATAATTATTGGGAAATCTACCACATTATACTTCAGACTGGTTCTCAGCAGATAAGGGTTTGTTTTTTTCTACTGGTAGTGTTTCTCCCATCCCTAGGGTCAGTTATACTAAATGTCTTTGGAGGAAGGAATTCCACAAGTTCCTTTGACACTGTTCAAGTTCCTTTATTAAATAGATTTATGTTGAATGTGACCACATGAGAAAAAGAATTTTTCATTTAATCTGAAGCAGAGAAAATAAATTATCTGGAACCAAATGAAAATTTGTTTAAAGTTCCACCCGCCCTGCACTAACACAAATAAGCTGCTTCTTGAGGAAATGTTTCTTTCAAAATGAAGATCTCAGGCAAAGTTAGGGCAGTTTCTCAGCCTCTCACTCGGGTTCTAGATTCCAGTACTTTGGCTCCTGTTGAGTGCAGAAGAAAAACCACTGTCAAACAGCCAGGAATGCCAGACCAAACAACGTGAGATCACTGTTGCAAAGCTGACACTTGCAACTTGATATGGTTTGTACATAAAACTGATTCACAATAGCTAGCGTATCAGTCTTGAGTTAATTACTGTGGCTCCTGTAATGAATATTAGCTGTTTGAGGGCAGAGAAAGTAGAATTGAGTAGAGTTGTCTTAGTTCTGGCTGAATGTCAGCAGTTTGTCAAAGAAAGTGATGGATGATATAACCTTCTATATCAGTTTCTTTGGTGAGAAGTTGAGAAGGAGCATTTACTTGGGTCTCCCAACAAGGACCAGATGAATCTGAAACAAATATTTGTTGTTTCATTTTTGATTGTTGGGAAGAACTTTCTTTATGTCACTATCAATTTCATGCCCTGCTTCCATAATAGGGATTTAATTAGGCTTCTGTTGAGTTAATTATCTGCATTGTTTGCCTTTCTCCAACAGAAGTCTGAAAGAGACAAGTAAATCATGGAGGTTTGAATTTGCCCAATTTCCTGCCGAAAGTGAGGTCAAGAGGTCCCAGACTGTAGACACACTTTTCAGGCAGGCAGCAGGGGGTTGGCTCTTAATGGTGCTTCAGCAATTCCTAAATGCCCTTTTGAAATGTAACTCTCAAGTGAGGGAACTTGATTTTTTCAGGTTCACTGTCAGATGTCAGGGCAGCAGAACATATTCTTTCACCCAACTCGGACATTTGTTACTAGCAGCAAGAAGACATTAACATAGCTGCTAGATATAAAAAAAGACATCATAGATGTTCTTTCCTCCTTTGTGGAACATATCTCACCCAGCAGTTTTCATTTGATGAAATGGCATTGCTTTCTAAACCTTAAATCTTATTATCCAGATATTCAAGGTTCATTATTTAGAAATGTGATCAAGGGAAAATGTTAAATATACGGACATGGGCTTCTACCACATGTATACCACCAAGAAATAAAATGTGGCCTTCATGATAATGTTCACTTCAGAGGTCAATATATTGGCCTTAGTACTAATAGGGCCAGGGAACTGACTGTACATTCAACAGCTGTGAAGTGAAGCTAAACTGGGGTGATAAGTACCTCAGGTTTATGAATGTGGGATAATGCTTTTACTATTAGCGCTATAAAGTGCCAGGAAATAGGTTGACATTACCTTGCATTGTCATGCCCATGTTGCCAACTGGAAAAAACGATGGCAATTTTAACATAGTAACGTCAGGCTGAATGTTGATTACACTGATGTCCATGGTAGTGATGGTCTGTGGAATCTGTCTTGTGCTCTCTAGCATTCACAGACACCAAGCAAGAAAAAAATTCCAGAACCTGATCCCATTTTTCATCAGTTAACCACATCTCACCCAAACTGAAAGCAATTGTCAGGGAAGTTTTTTGACAAATTATCTCAGTATTTATTGCTTGATGTCTCTTTGTGAATGTTAGTGAACACAAGAGGAGAACATGTAGACCGTCTTGGTGTCAGGTCATATCCTTGTGTTTAGTATCATTGATGCAGAAGCAATATCCCACTTTCATAAATCAGAGGACTTTTGAAATATTGAATGTACTGACTTTTAAAAACAGAAGTTTAACAATACACAACACACCCAGATTTACAACAGGTAAGATTATTAGATCTCCGTATGGGGTAGTGGATAGAGTGATGGATTAGGGCTCTGGAGAATAAGGTTTGAATCTGCACTTGGCCATGGAAACTCAGTGGGAGAGTAGGACTGGTAAAACCTTAAATATCTCACATACCTTGAAAGCCCTGTTAGGGTTGCTGCAAATTGGTTCCAGCTTGACAGCACAGAACACACACGCATACAAGATTAATGGGAGATCTAGGCCACAATACCACACATACCTAGAAGCAAATTGCACTGATTTCAGTAGGTCTTCCTTCTTTGTCGGCTCACACAAACTGTATTGCAAGTGTTTTTGCAACTTATGTATTGTCAACCCGAGAAGGTTAATGCTTTTAGATACTCTTTCTGATCCAGCCTTCCGGTATGAATGTATGTATGTATGTATGTATGTATGCATGCATGCATGCATGCATGCATGTATGTATGTATGTATGTATGTATGTATGTATGTATGTATGTATGTATGTATGTATGTATGTATG